TTTATTATTTTTTTCAGATTTTTTACAGTGTTTATTTGATTTTATTTGTAATACTTATTCACAAGTATACTAAATGATATCATATGAGTATCGTAGATATGTTAGGTAATTGTTTAATGTAAAAGATTTTGAAATCACATGCGCAGATTGACATTTCACATCGAAAATATATTTATACAAACGTATATATCAATTTTTTTATATAACATTATATTTTATTTTGAATATTTATTACTTAAAATTAAAAAGAAATCACTAAAATACATTTTAGTGCAAAATAAAAAAAATGCTGAAAACTTAAAAAAAATGATTGATTTTTTAAGACATTATTTTTTTTTAATTTTATATCACATTTACCATATTAAATTTATTTTTAAGATACATATATAAAAAAAATCATTTGGTATTTAAACATAAGTAGATGTAGCTCAATGGTATTATCCTCTTGCTTTGAGTATAACATTCGGGGATCAAAACCCCGCATCTCCAAATATATTATTTTTTTTTGTAATATACAAATTAATTTATATTTTACAATTTTGAATTTTATATATATTTATTGTGTAAGTGAAATATAATATCGTTATATTTGCTCAAGTTTTTCACATAGTGATCAGATTACATTTTTCTATTTATTACTTTTTTTGATTTTTCACTGTGTTTATTTGATTTATTTGTAATACTTATTCACCAGTATGCTAAATGATATAATATGAGTGTCGTAGATATGTTAGGTAATTGTTTAATTTAAAGGATTTTGAAATCACATGCGCAGATTGACATTTCACATTGAAAATATAGTTATATAAACTATATATCAATTTTTTATATAACATTATATTTTATTTTGAATAGTTATTACTTAAAATTAAAAAGAAATCACTAAAATACATTTTAATGCAAAATAAAAAAAAAAATGTTGAAAACTTAAAAAAAAATGATTGATTTTTTAAGACATTATTTTTTTAATCTTATATCACATTTACCATATTCAATTTATTTGTAACATACATATATGAAAAAATCATTTGGTATTTAAACATAAGTAGATGTAACTCAATGGTATTATCCTCCTTCTTTGAGTATGACATTCAGGGGTCAAAACCCCGCATCTCCAAATATATTTTATTTTATTTTTGTAATTTACAAATTAATTTATTTTTACAATTTTGAAGAAAGGATAAAAGTGCTGGTAGATTGCTGAGGTTGTCTGATAACTTGACGGAAACAGTTCCAATCTCTGGAAGTGGGAAAGAGGGAGAGGAGGCAGTACCTATGAAGAGGAATAGAGACTTGGTGATTCATGAAGAAGGTGGTCTGAGTTTTGAGGAAACTGGTTTGGAGAAGAAAATGAAAGTTGCTTGTGAATGTGTAAAGGTGGAGAAGGCCAGCCTAAAATGGCCCCGAAGTGACAAATGAAGGTTAAGGTGTGGAATTGTAGAGGGCTGGGTGGGCCCTCTACAATTTCCCAGATTAAGGGCTCTATAAGAGACCACCACCCTAATATTATATTTTTATCAGAAACTAAGAAGTCACTGGCTTTTACTACTACAGTTTGTAGGAAGCTTGGTTATGGCAGCAGATGGTTTTTGGAGAAGCCTATTGGTACTAGAGGAGGTATGTTGGTTATGTGGGATGTGGATACAGAGATCAAACAGATTATAGCTAATGAATTCTGTGTCCAAGTGGAGGTGAAAGGGCCTGGGATGAGGGAGTGGTGCTGGGTTACTGCTGTCTATATGAGTACAGATAGACATGTGAGATTTAGTCAATGGGAATTTCTGGAGAATTCTAAATGCAGATGGGGGAGAATTTGGGCTTTGTGTGGTGACTGGAATGATATTATTAGTAATGATGAGAAGAGGGGTGGCCTTAGAAGACATGAAGCTAGTTTCAGTGGGTTCAAAACTTTCATTGAGAATATGGGGATGTTAGAGGTTG